CAGAGGTTCATAGACTGTTTTTCTTTTTTCACTTTACCACGGCTTAAATGTATTGTCTGCTTCAATGGAGCATTGCCTTCAGTTTTTTTGTGTCGGACTGTGAAGGTGAGATGCTCCTTCTATATTTGATCCAACTTTTCTCTATCTTGATGCATTATATCTCCTCTCTTTCATGCTTTCACTTTCCCCCTGCCCCCCTCTTTTTCCACAAACCCTCCCTTTCCCACTCTCTGCAGGGTGACAGGCACAGCAGGTCTGACAAAGCAACTTTCTTGTCCAGTAATTAACCCCAGGTTGCTAATGAACATTAGCTTATATAAAGGAACACAGTGAACCCATTAGGAGGGAATGCTCCTCAAACTTCCATTGACGGTTAGAGGCTTTATCAGAGATTGAAGGGTTTTTGCATTTTGGCTTCAAGTTGCGAATTACCAAACAATATAGATTCTTACAATAGAAGACGTGCATTGACGGCACTTTCCCACTGGGCCACGCCCCCTTCCTTGAGATTGAGTGGCAAACACAGCCATAACTGAGTCATTCTGATGAATACATATTTAAGTTAAATGGATTGCCAGATCTGGCCAGAAGTTGGATTCCCTGACGTTTAAATTTCCAACAGAAAATGGCAAAATATGGTCTCCCCCACAGCCATTTCAATGTCTTTTTAGGCACTTTTTTTGCAACAAAAAACATTTGAAATATTGCAAAAATAAAACTATACGCTTAATTAAAGTTTTTCCTTTTAAAAAATGGTAAATTTTTTAAAACCATCTGTAATGAAAAGAAATAATAAATCATATTTTGTCACTTCTTTTATTCTAGCAGCAGTGAAAAATAACTTATTTTTTAATATTACAATTGATGGTCAAGCTTGCATTAGCATTATTTCAGTTGCTTACGGAAACGATTTAAACGTGTGTTTAATGGCTGTTAATCTAATCTGTTGAATGGCATCCCTGAAGGTCAACAAGTAAAGCAGATAATGAGCAGGAGCCGGTCAACATGAACAAAATAAAAAATAAAAATATTAATAATAGCATGGACAAAGAAAACAAGGTTATTTGAGAAAAGATTTACAGAACTGCTAAGAAGTTTTTCTCCAGTATTTTCCATAGCGCTCGCTTTATTTTCGACAAGATGTCACTGGAATAAATATCAGCTACAATGACAGTCGGCTCTTTGTAGGACATCAGTGTTTTCTAACACGCTTTGGTATACTCTAGTAATCTTGATAGATTCCCATAGAGTCATCGCTAGGGGTTCTAGAGTCTATGAAAAATGTAGCTCCAGGCACACTGGGTAGAACGCACATTGCATCTAAGAGTTCCCAGAGTGCACCTCTTGGCAGAAACTATCATCTGAAGCGGGGAGACGTGCAGGTCCCCTAAGTAGAAAGCACATTCTCTGGGTCTTCCTATATGGATCTCCCTCTGGACGCCTTCTGGCAGAGATTACGTTTCAGAGATCAAGGTGATGTGAATGTCAATTACAATATTTTGAGGGAACATGCAGGCCACGCCCCTCTTGGAAGGACCGCTATGATAGAAACGACCTGGGATGTGTGTCTTCCTCCTGAGTCTTTGTTACCATCTGCAAAGATTTCATGTTGAGAAATGCAGGCAGATACTCATCCATCAAGATAAACCATGATGGCCCCAATTGTGTTCTGCAGCAGGACAATGACCCCAAACATTGAACCAATTAAGAAATATTTTCAATACAAAAAAGAACAAAAAGGTTATTTTAAGTTTACACATTTATCCTGAAGCAGGAGAAGGAACCCAAACTTAGACGCAGCCATTAAGAACAGTCTTTAAATTAAAGAATTAAAGAACAAGAAGTACATGACCCCCGCATAGCCCTGATCTGAGCATCGTTGAGAGCGTTTGAAAAAGACACAGCTCAAGTTTGTTCTCCAAGATTCTTGCCAGAATTGCTGCTGTTTTGAAGGCAAAGTGTGCTCACCGGAAATATTGATTAACTTTCTGTTTCTATAGCATTTATAGCCTTTTCTAGCTTTTGGAGTAATTCACATGGTCCCCGATTGTCAAATGCATGGGAAGTATGCACTGAACAAAAGTGTGTGCATGTTTAAAACATAATTGTAATTTCTAATCATGTGGAATCAATGCATTTTAATATATATATTTTTTTTTATATACAAAGTGCTGTACAAAGTGTTATTTTCTTCACTTCTTTTATCCCAGGTGTTTAGTGCTTTAAGATTGGTTGAAAGTGATGGACCCACTCGAAAAGCTGAGGCACTTGGGTTGTAAAAGATGAAGTTTAAATCTCCTGGACAGTGGATGAATATGTTTCGCTATCTGCACATAGTCAGAGAGGATCAGGAAATCAATTCACTTACGTTAAGGTCTTGTATGACTGACCTGGCAAACGGTGAGAAAGGGAGAATTTGTTCCAGCTTCTGATCATCTACAGGTGTGGGAATGAAGATAAGAGTCTTCTGGCGGTGCCACTTCCTTTTACGGCACCATCATCTGGCCCATGACCAGCCGTCCATGGCCTATTAGAGACACTTTCAAATGTGTGCGTGTGTGCGCGTGTGTCGGCTTAAGGATCCCTTCCCTCACTCCGTTACCTTTTAGGTTCGCTGGTATTCTTAACAAATATATTCCCCTAAGAGATAACGCATTACAAAACAAGATAAAAATATCATTTAAAATGATACAAATGTTGATAAATCACTGATTTTTCGGGAGCTGAGCTACAGATTTTTTTTGTTATATTGGTAGCTGATGAAAATAAATAAATAAATAAAAAAAACTGGTTGCTAGGGGAAATCATTGATTAAATTCTCACCGTGATATTCCAGCTCTTATATTCCTAGCATTTTCTCAAGGTGAGATATGGATTTGATGATTTGGTTGCTAGGGTAAAAGTTTAGTTGCTATGGATGGCGTCGCTGATATAATTTATTAAACCAACCCCCAATGTTTTCCAGAGGGAGAAACATGGCAAGAAATATGGTAAACAGTCTGGTTGCTATGGAAGGGGTCAGTAACACATCAGGCCCCCCAAAGCCAATATAAATATTGAAAACCAACCCCCATATCTCTATTATTTACCAAAGCTGAGGTAGATTTCAGAAATTTCGGTTGCTATGCTAAACAGTTTGGTTGCTAGGGAGTTGTCAGTGATGTCCTACATCTTTATAATGTTCTTAAAGGTGAATCCAATTATGGGAAAGTATTTAAAAGAGGCAAATTATTATGTTTCTCCTTGTTGCATCTTCTCTAAAGAGTGCCTCAAAAGGGTGGTGAGAAAAGTCACAGTCAACCCACAGACCAGCATTCTAGACCTACATCATCCTGCTGCAGATGGTGTCACTGTGCATCCACTAAGTGTTGAATTAATGATAAGTGTGTGCCAATGTCTTCAAAACTCATCAAAGTCCATGCAGCTCTGTAAGTTCTTGGTGATGTCACAAACCCTAGGACCCCACCCACTCATTATCAGTATCATGAGCCGGAACACTGTTCTTTTTCACGTCTGGCTCTGCATGTAAACAGGAGATGGCTTCCTTTGATGTACTCCCAGCAACTAAACCGCTGAGGATGCAGTGGACAAGTTTTGTTTATGGAGGAAATGTGTTACTATTGAGGGCTGTGCCCGTATCCTTTAAAATCAGTGTGTTTTACAAACATTGTTTAGACGTTGGTTCTGCAGGTTGGATGTCATGATATAGTTGCAAATACCACCTAAACCTCATTAATCACATTTCACCTCAGAAACTTTCATTTCTAGTGTTTTTTAAACATTCAGAAATCTCAGTTAAATGTGACCAGTTTTTATGACGGTACCCCCACTGCTCTGTTTGTCGTTTGTTCAGCCTGAGCCAGCATATGTCCCATATTTTTGCAAACCCAAGAGGAAATGCTGCACTTTAAATATACATATAAGCAAAAACGAATGCTCACTTTATATATTTAGCTCCTCCTGTCCATACATCGGTTCATATGAGATCTAGTGGGAACCAGTCAAATTCTCTCCGCAACAGGAACACATTCATGCAGTTGCACGTTTATATAAGCATTAATATCAGCTTCCTCCACACAGATGGCAACTGATGCATCAGAATGTGCTTCTGATGGAAATGAATCACCACTGAATTGGTGGGTAGTTTCTTCTTGTACTACAAAGAACGATAACTAAACGCATATAACATCATGTCAACAGTGAAAAGAGTTTGCTGTCTGCCCAAAATGTAATTAATACATTCAGTGCTTGCAACGATTTAGTGAAAGTTGTATAGCCCAGGGGCAAAGAGCTCACCCTTTCTGCTCCCTACGCCTCCTCTATGTTCTTCTCAACATCTCTCTCTGTCAAACTTGCTCTCGCTCAGCTCGGAAAGCCTCGGGCTACATGGTCAGATGCTATTGAGATCAGTATAGATCCTTTTTTTTTTTTACTCTGGGTCATCACACTTTGTCCATTTAGCTTTAGTTCATTTGAATAATTATACATATTTGGTTTGTGCTGAACAGCTCTCTTTCAGTTGAGTTGGAAAGTGTTCAGATTGGGAAAGCAAAAGCCATTTTAGTCTGTTATTATTGAAATGGGAGCATTGCACAGTGTATACATTATTTTTATAGTACAGTGGTTTAAAATGACCCTATATGAGTAATCTGGGTTTGTAAAATTATCGTCAAATTTAGTACAATTCCAGCCATCAAACTTTAACGAACTCCTAGAGATTTTATTTGATCACATCCTCTTGTAGTCCCTTTGGAAGGCAGGAAGATGTTGTAACTTGTCCGATCAGGATGGAATTTGCCAAGTGTGTCCATGTCTGAACACATATTTATAGCAGCCTGGGTTATCAGTTGTAGCGCCACACAGTGGCCATATGGAATCTGCTATTTTAATTAAATGTTCGAAATTTGGATGATTAATGTACAGAGCCAAGACCTACAAAAAAGTGTATTGAAGTGATTTCCTAAAACCGACAGGAAATGAATTATTTTGTAAATATTCCAGCTTTCCCACGGCTCAGTTGGTAGAGCATTACACGAACAACACAAATGTTGTGGGTTCAAATCACATGGAAAGCAGGAACTGACAAAAATATATATATATATTTTTTGGTTTATTCATTCAAAATGTAAGTCACTTTGGATTAAACCATCTGCCAAAATAATGTAATGCAAATGTGAAAATGAAAAATATTAAGGTGCTTGAACCATCATAGTTTTCCCCATGAGTTTTCTCTGTACAGAAATCTTTCTGGTTTTCTTTGTCTAAGCTGCCCACAATGTTTACACATAAAACATAAACGTGAAGAAATGTAATTCACTATTTACATCTGCTTCCTGTAACTTTACTCAAAATTCTGCTCTATTTGAATTCATTGAATCATTACTTTAAATATATTTAGTTTTGCATTCATTCTGTGAAGCGCTTTGAAGCATCTGTGTTGGTGCTATATGTACATGAAATATGTATAAGTCTCACAGCTGAGGGTCCAGAGATTGCAGGATGGAGGGAAGACCACTGGAAGCTCAGAGATGTATGTTATACAAATTACCAAATGCCTTAAATGTCAGCAGTAACATTTTTAAATCGATGCGAAACTTTATCGGCGTCCTGTGAAGTTTATAGAGTAGATGCTTTTTTGCACAGCATGCAATGATCCTCCTGAACTACTTACACTTTATGTATAGTTTTATTAGGCAATGCAGTGAATAATGAGTTGCGGTAATCCAGTGCTGAGGTCATCCGTGCATGAACAAGCTGTTGTGAAGAACCGTAAGAATCAGATTTACTATAATCTAGTTAATAATCTAGCTTCGAAAACAATGTTAAAACAGTTTAATTCAACATATTACAATTGAAAGAGTTTTTTTTAGGTTCCTGGAACGTTTTGGGCTGTTGCAGTTGTTCAGGATTAATGGTGTTCTCGATGTTAAGAAATGCAGGCAGATACTTCATCATGCAATACCACCAATGATGCGTACGATTGGCCCAATTGTATTCCGCAGGAGAATAATGACCCCAAACATGCCGCCAATGGAATTAAGAAATATCTTCAGGATAAAGAACAAAAAGGAGTGGAAGTGGAGCCCACAGAGTCCTGCTCCCAACATTGAGTATCTCAGGGATTACATGTAGAGACAGAAGAATGAGAGAAAGAAGATCTGGGGTTTGTTCCACAAGTGTTTGGAACCACATTCCAGCAAGTGTTTTTTGGTGGTTCTTTGAGCATTTTTGCAAATGCATTTGGAGATTTGGTCAGGATTAATGGTGTTCTCAATGGTGAGAAATGCAGGCTGATTCTTTTCCATCAGGTGTATGGTTGTAGTGAAGGTAGTAAGGTACTTTGTTACATGCCGTGAGAAATGGGTATACAAAGGCTAAGGCAGCTCAAAAAAAGAGCATCTTCCGCACTGTCCTTCAGAGGGCAGTGTGGAGCAGGTTAAAAAAGCCATTGCAACCATGCACATATGGACATAATACACGAAAAAAACATTGCAGGAGGGGGTAGGTTCAGGGAAAGTAGGTGGGACCACTGCAGTCAACAGCCGACATTTTGCTGCTGCCATTAACGGCGCTGTACTCATGGCCCGGTCAGATTACAGCGGTTGGGAGAAGAAGGTGTAGAAAGAGGGAAGAATGCAGAGCGTCTCGTTATCACGTTCTCAGATGGAAGAGAAGTTGATTTTGGGTCAAAATCTGTAAATTTCCACGTATGTTTACTATCCGTTACCGGTCTCCATTTTATCCATGTATGGTTACCCCAATTGTAGTCTTTGCAGGAGGAAAATGACCCCAAACATGCAGCCAATGTAAACAAGGTATATTTTCAGCATAAAGAGTAACAAAAATAATTGGAAGTGGACCCCACAGAAAATTAGAAGGATGATACATGTGCAAACTCTTTGCTGTAGGATGCAAGAGCATGTAATATCTTAACTTTTCTTCAAGGTGTATTGACCTGCGAGCACAGGGCACAGCCTCTAATTGATATCATCTACTCCATCAGTCACAATCACACAAACATGCCTGCACACAAATACAAACCATTTGCCATCCTTGCAGTCCTTTATCCAGATGCCTGCATTTGTCTTCGTTGCCCTAATCATATTACAGCCATAGCCCTCGCCTTATTGAGATGAATTAGCTAATGCTGTGGTGACAGTGTTCTTTGAATGGAAACGTCCTCTACACACTGCTCTGCATCTAAACATTTTATGCACACAAAACAATCAGACACTAGACATATGAGTTCCTTCTAGAGGTATTGATCAATGCAATATGTTCAAGGCTCCACTTTGCCTTAAAAATGGTGTTTACTCGTGCGATTAACACGGGGAAAACGGTTTAGTAAATACAGAACGGCATTCCAGGAGTTGTTTTTTTGCAAGTCAGTCATTAATCATATTATGGGCTGTCAGCAGGTGAGCAGGCGGAGTGTTCTGTTGGTGCTGTGAGAAAGTATTATCACAGGCCCAGCAGGAGATCCAGCAACCTGTGTGACGCTGGAGAGACTGGCACTTTCTGCTTTAGAAGAATAGACAACGGGATTCTGTTCATTTCTTTCCTTCTCCCCCGTCTAATGGAATAATGGGAGAAACAATGCATTTTGGAAAGCAATGGAAGAGATGTGTGGAAGGGTTAAGGGAGTAAAAAAAAAACAAGTTCTTAATCTAGGCGCCGTGAATGATCCGGAGAGAGAAAGAGAGAGACCCACTGCAAGATTTGATTGCAACTTTTTAAAACAATGTTTTTGAACAATAATAAAACATGGTTGAAAGCGCTTAAAAGTCCATTTTGCCTTTAGAAATCTGGGGCCTTTTTGAGCATTTTTTACTATTTTACAATTTTCTAAATTATCTTCAAAACTGTTTTTGTGACAATGTTTGATTTAATTTTTTTTTTAAGTACAATCCCAGGTTCTATATTTTTCTTTTTTTTACATCATTACATTAAACAGTATTTTCACAATAATCCCAATAATAAAAAAAGCACTTTTTTGTGCCAGAACTTTTTGTACTTAATGGGTTATCCCTACTTTTCATCACTAGATGGCACTTATGACACCAATTTGGGATCTATAAAACGAAACTGAAAGACGATCACAAACTTCCTCAAGTTTTATAAGAATTACCTTGTGTTTGTTGAAATACATAAATATCAAACTTATTGAAACCTACACATTATATTTGAAATTAAAATTAAACAGTAACTGGTTTGTGTGATTCATACTTAATTGAAAATAGCCTTCTGATAGGCCCGTGCAGACTTTTGGAGTATTTTTGCCGACACACACACACACACACACACGCACACACACACAAAATGTTGAATAAACATAACCAAACAATGGAAAACGTCTAATTTGAGATTCTGAAATTCAAAGTAATAAAATGTGCAAAAGCAAAACTTGACTCATTGCTATGAATTACTAATTATTTATGCAGGTCTTTATTGCCATTTCCAAAACTGCTATTTTTGAAAATGTTTTCCTTTTTATTTTTAAATACTCACACGCTGATTGAAGGGAGTGAATTTGTGGGGATATGGGTGTTTTAACACACACAGTGCTCTATTCCTGCATCTTTTCCAAACGTTTTAACGGCTATGTATGAATTTATTATTTTACATGCAGTTTTTTGTTTACATTTCCAAAACTGCTTTTTTCCCCTATTTTATTTTTTTTTTGCAATATGTTTACTTGCATGTGCTTTTATAGTGTCAGAGCTCAGAAGGCTGCAATCTTACTATAAACAAAGCCTCATCAACGTGACTAATGCTGCACAGTCAGTTGCACAGGGTTAGGTAAACAGAGACTTTAATCAAAGATTCACATTAAAGGCCTGTAACAATTAGCAGAGCACTTCTCACTTTTTACTGCTGGGGTTCAGGAGGACTGCTCTCTACAGCAAGAGCTAGCGGTCAGGGTGAATCAGGGGTGGGACTGCAAGAAGACTGCTGTCCTCTAAATGGAGCTAGCTGCTACTGGAGAACAAATGTTCCATCACAGATGAGTGAATCCAATGGGATCTCCCGCTGGAGTGATTGATCTTCCTGTGGCTGTTGATCTGGAATAGTTTTTGATACTCTTTCATGGTTGTGCTCATGCCCATCTATTGAACTCCAACCAAACCTTAGAAACTCAAAGAGCAAGTTTGTGTTTGAATGTATTCAATGGCATGCTTTAGTCTCTCCCTAAATATTAGATTGTGATTGGATGAAAGGTATTTACTGATATACAAATATCCACAAACTATTCCATTTTTTTTTTTTTGTAAGATGAAATGTGACTTTTTAGCTATTTTGGAGTACTGTTGCGTGTAGATAGATGTTGCGAGACTCTATTTTGCCATGTACTCTGCGTGACAAGACAAAAAGAAATATGAGTTAGTACATAAACAGAATCGTGTTGTATCAATGCTAAACACGAATGTTTCCCAGCTGAGCTCTACTGACGGAGAGTCGGTTTGTTCCAGATGGGCTGCTGCATTTCCTCCCACGCGATCAAAGCAGCACTGTACTGATCATTTCTCTGCTACCCTCTCTATTCTTTCTCCTTCATTTCCTTGTTCTCTGTGTAAAGCCCGAACTTTATTTTATATCGTTTCAAATCAATCAAACACATTCAAGTCCTAGTTTCCTCTGTACATCCCAATACCATGCGTCGTCTGTCCGAAAGAGTGTTCTCCGACTGTTTAGCATTCGTCCATATATTTATTGTTCATTTATAGTTGCAAGGTTTAGCAATTAGTGTCAGGCCTCTATCTGCACTTCTCTCCTTGGCTTCATGCTTGCGTTCACTGCAATTAAGAACAAACTGCTCATGTGGATAGATGTGGCATTCCATTTTTAATTAGCAGAGCTAGCATACATAGCCAGGGTTGTTTGGTTTGCATGTTGATGAGTTTGTCTGCTGCCTTATGAAGAACGCCAGCGAGGTTCTTACTTGTCAAGCTAATATAACATACATTGACGTTAATATATACGTATTTAGGCTAAGTGAGAGTAGTGTAACTCAGCCATGTCCACATTTTTGTTGTATATACAGCAAAACAACAGGTGCCAGCAGATTATACCACTG